ATTTTTATTTTAAGAATCAAATTAAAACTTTTAAATATAGAGATTTGAAGTTGCTTATCACCTTTCATACTGTTTTGTATTATATTATAATATATATTTATGTTTCTCATTCAAACATTTCAACCTGAATTATAAGCGTAGGTTATTCCACTAGGTGAGACTTCTGAGCTAATGTACCTCTCAAGTCCGATATATAGAAACTCCACCCTTAATGATGAAGCATCGACCCTATCCTTGGCCAGGTAAGGGATTGTTGTTATATATTTATTTCTATGTTTTATTATTCGAACACAGGACTGAATCATCCACTTGTCCCCTCTATTTGTTGGTTTGAAATTTTTTATTTTAAATTTCTGAGTCAACGGAAATCTAGAATGAATTCATTGTGTTTTGCAAGCAAATGGGTTAAAGCCTTCTATCGTCCTTCTACGTTCATTTTTTCGTTCATATCCATCCCTGTACTAACAAATTGTTCATGATCGTCCCTCTAATTCCCAAACATTGGTCTTTGTCGTCCCTCTAATTCCCATTTTTTGTTCAATGTCGTCCTTATTTGGACGTCGTTGTTGGGGCTGTTTGTTATGACCGTTAACATGCAAACGGTCAATTGTTAGCTTAGTGTATAAGTATTGTTTTTGACACTATCCTAATTAGTGGGGACCAATTGCTGCAAAAGCTCCATTCTTCCTTTTTTTTTTTTTTTTCTTAATAAAAAATTCTCCTTCCCATTTTCACATAATGACTGAAATGAATAAAAAATAAAGCCACTGGGGTGCATTGTCCAGCAAACATCCCATACATGTATAGACAAACCTCTATTTACTATGTGTCGGGAAAATCAAGAGCTTTGGTGTTTTAGCTTACATTTTCCCTAAAATTCAAACCTTTTTGCTTAAAAAAAACAAAAACAAAAATAAACCCAAGGAATCCCACATGGAATGAGACAACTGGTGGAGGCACAACTACACCAAGTGGGAAGGTTGACATTTTGGCACAAAATTAAATTAGTAAAGCATATGAATTCATATGGAATTTGGAAAGTGCACTATTCATATAGATCAAGTGACCACTAATAAAATATTTAAAGCACCCCATCCAATCAAGAAGGTAAACTTCACACCATGGAAAACTAACAATATATTATATACGTCACTAATGTCGTAGGCATACCCCAAGCTTGAATGCAATTCCTCTAAGCAATCTTCAGCCGAGATTTTAGTTGCCTCTAAGGCATCCAACTTGGTAGTGCCACAAGTAATTACTGCACAGACCATGCACCAACCAATGAACCAGCTAATAATGTTGTTTCTTGGATTAGAAAATGAATTTCGTTAATCACTAGGATTAACATGGAGACCAAAAATTTTATTTCATTGTTTTCTGTCACAAAGTAATCAAATTTATAGAAATAAACAAAATGCAAGAGCATTTTCAGATCCATATAAAGAACTTGCTGGCAAGGGGACACTTTTCTAAGGTGCAAAATATGCTTAATAGAAAACAAATAATAGCTTTTACTTGTAGAATCGACCTATTTCAATATTAACACAATCCCATTCCTTAATTACTAGGAACTAAGGTTGATACAAGCTCACGAACAAGGAAAGTTAAGGGAACTATGGTTTATAACTTATGGAAAGGTTTAGTTTCAAGAAAAGAATAAACAATAATTGCATTCCTAATTAATTAATAAATAATTCTGAAAGGCACATAAGCATCCATGCGCATTTTGTCATATTCTGTCTCCTGCTCATACTAAAAGAGAAACTCTTGGACTAATAAAATACTAAATAGACATTACTCATTTGCTTTCAACAGTTTATTTTGCCCACCTGTTTACAGTATCAAGTTGGAACAACTTGTTCTTCCTGACTACCTTGATTCAACGCCAAAGAATTTCCTGTAGCTCACTACCAAGTTTTCCTCCTAAAAAATGAAAAACCTTGAAATGGATTGCTTTAGCCATGGACATGTGGTCTACAAGTATGAAATTAGTAAACCCAACTAGAAATTGCAAAAAGGGACCCCAAAGGCACAAACTTAGATTAAGAGAAGTGTAATGAAAATTGGAGAAATAGTAGATGAAAACAACAATAGATAACCAATATGGTGGCAACATTCCAACACAATATATCCATTTCAAATTTAAACAAGAAACCTTATGGCCTTAATTTCCTTCTTTTGGCTAATATGCTGGGGGTTGAATTCCCTAGATTTGCATTGTTATTTTTTATGTTATTCCCTCATTTCACCTTAAAAAAAAAAAAAGAGAAAGAGAAAGCTTTAAAACAATCAAATTATCAAACCTTAATGTTGTAACCCTTCTCAATGAGATAATGAGCAACCCTAAGAGGATAAGGAAACAAAAAACCAGCAACAGAAAAGTTGAACCTAGGACTTGTCACCATTGTCCTCTCCTTCTCAGCCTCCATATCTTTCATTTTTTATTACTTTTTTACATTAAATTATTAAAATTATTACAACAGTGGTTATAACTTATAATTTTATTATTGAGAATAAATACGAAAACCAACATAAATAATAGTTTGGTTCAAAATGATATAATTTCAAAAAAAAATAAAGAATCATCTATTAATAATTATTTAATAAATAATAAATATATATCATTATATTAATAATATTTTATATTTTATATTTTATATTTTATATTATATATATAAATGCATATTCTATTTAATGCATAGAGTAACATTTTATATATATTTATAGATTATAGATTATAGCTATCAAATTGTTTTTTTTTTTTCCTCATTTTTGGGGGGTCCATTGCTTAAGTTTCTGAGAGGACGTTGATTAATCCCGGCTTAAGTACCTGTTAGGGCTGTGAGGGATTTGGACCAAATTATTTTAGTTGATAGCATGGAGTTGTAGACGGTGATGGTATTATTGGGCCTGTGAGTCTCTATGATGTTTAACTTGGTACGAATATTGTTGAAAATGTCAAACCATTGAGTTAAGATTTATTTTAGATATTATTTTTACATACATTATTTACATAAAATTTTAATAATAAGATAATTATTTTTAAAAAATATGACAAATAAAATGCATCGGAGGTAC